TTTCCACAGTGGCTATATCAATTCACAACTCTACTAAGAGAGTACAAGGGTCCCTTTTCTCTAAATCCATGCCAGCTTTTGTTATCTCTTGTCTTTTTGATGATGGCCATTCTAACAGGTGTGAGGTGATATCTCCTTGTGGTTTTGATTTGCATTTCTTAACGACTAGCAGTGTTGAACATCTTTTCATGTATCTGTTGGCCTTTCATGTATCATCTTTGGAGAAATGTCTATTCAGGTCCACCAAGAAATTCTTAATACAAGTAACATGATGATAAAACACCACCTTATCAAACTGGTCAATAGAACTGAAATTTTTTAATAAGTAAAAATGACTGATATGAGAATTTATATTTACCCTCCTCTGAATAATTTAACAAGTAATCTAATAATGAAAAAGAACACTCAAAAATGACAATATTCTTTTTCTAGTTTAGTGTACTTGCTTATTATTTTACAAACTCACTGAGCTATTTCTTTGGTGTCTGTAAAAGCTCTAACATTGCTACAAACCTTGAAACTAATGAGAAATAATTTGATGTCCAAATTTTCAGTGAACAATTAAAGAAACAGATAAAACTAATCCCAATGCATTGGTATGAAGATATTTAAAGAGTGTGTGGAAAACACATATTCTTGCTTCAGATGGTTCTTAAATATATATAATACCAAATTTATAAATGAGACACACAAGGCAGTTCCTGGTACACAGTAGGTACTTAGTAAATGTTGAATAAATGATTAACACACTTTACTGAATAATGCATGTCACTATATCATAGATATACTGTCTAAAAATCAGGGGATTTTTAACACCAAAAAAGTGTTCAAATGATGTGTGGCATATTTACTGGAGGAGGTAGGGCACAAAATCCTCAGGGAAATGCTACCTCACATCTGTTTTGTTTGTTGCACAGCATGTCAGTTTTAACTACTCTTTCCAGACCTGCTTCCATTTCTGCACCTGTGAACCTAAACTCCAATATTATTAGAAAGGTTCCATCTTTCCCCTAGGGAAGCCACGTTGTTTTCACTTCTTATTTTAGAAAGCATCTCTGTTGGGTTAGATGCACTTGTACAGTTTTTTAAGGTTTTCAAAACTTAAAGAACTTCTCTCCTATGGGCCCCCAGACTGAAAGAAGTTTATATGTTAAATTCTACTTTGATTTTCCAGTTTATTCTACTGCTTCTTAGTGGGTCATCACATTTTGGTTTTCTACATTCAAGTCTCTCCCAAGTCCATACAGTTTTGTCTCATGCCTCATTCCAAATGTTTAGTGACTGGTGAATCCATCCAATTACATGTTTACATTATTAGTGTTAAAAGGGTTCCTTTACTAGCTGCATTGGCCTAACAGGTTTGAGGGCAAAGAAGGCATCTCTTCTGCAGGAAGTATCATCAGGGACCACCAGGGATCCCTGAGCAAAACAGGCTTCATGGTGGCTGTGTAGGAGAGGGGTGCAATGAGCAGGGCCTGGAGCACCTAAGGATTCAGCCATGAAGCTCTTACATCAGTTGCTCCAATAGTGTTTACTCAAGGCTTCTATTTGTGTGCGAGGCGGGGGCGGTGGGATGGGACGTGGGGTGTGTGTGTGGAAGGGTCTTGGGAGGTGTCACATTATGGAGTACTTGGCTTCTGCCTCGGAGCCTCTCCCATCCTGAGGACCTAGGGAACAGTCAGGTATGCACTGGACAGTGCAGTTCTGTTCCACCCAGCCCCTGCGTACCTGATGCTGGGTTGTCCACCCAGTTCCCTGTTCTCTCTTAACAACGTGCCCACTCTATTAGGCACCTTCCTGTCCTCTATCACCCCCCAGCCTCCTGCTCAAAGGAAGCTGGTCCGCTCTCAAGTTTCAAAGCTGGGCCTGATTGCTCCATGAGACTCTCACCCCCTTTTACCGGGATTGGGTGATGAATGGGCATATAACCCAATTTGAGCCAATGAGGTCTGAGGAGAGGTTTTCGGGGGCTTCTGGGGAAGGAATTCTTCAGTTTCTAGGGGAGCTCTTGGCAGCCCCTGACTCTCAGTTCCTGTAACACTTGTAGGCACTATATTGAGGCCAGACTTGCTGCAGGCATCTTACTTCTCCCAGAGGTAGAAGCCAAAGCAGAGGAGGCCATTGCTGGAGGGCAGAAGAGGTAAATGCATCCCTAATTTTTAAACCATAATTTGGGAAGGTGGTCTTTTTCATTTCACTGCCTAAAGAAGAAAGTCTTAAAAAAAAAAGCTGCATTAAAAAAAAAACAACATAAAAATTTACCATCCTAACTGTATTAAGTGTACAGTTCAGTGACATTAAGTGTATTTGCATCGTTGTGCAAAACCATCACCACTGCTCATCCCCATCACTTTTTGGTCATCCCAGGCTGAAACTCTGGACCTATTAAAACATGAAATGGGACTTTTAACTGGGCTGGATTCCATGGTATAGAGTCTTGACTGGCCTCTTTGCTTTCTAGAGGAGGAGCTCACTGTGTGTTTGAATGTCATACACATGGGGGTGGCTTTCTCTTCCACCCACATAGCAGGACAGATTAGCAGTGTCACAGCCTGTCTCCGAGGGGGAGGCTTGGGTGTCTTGGTACCTCTATGTCTACTTCCATGAGGGCTGGTGGTTGGTTATTCCAAAAAATTGTTTGTTGTTTACCTGAAATTCAAATTTAACCATGCATCCTATATTTTTATTTGCCAAATCTGGCATTTTTAGGTAAAGAGAATGAAGCCCACTGAATTTGGCAACTGGAGGCTTTGAAGGACCCCTGATAGCAGCAGGGGACACCAGTGCCTGGCAATAAGGGTCTTGCAAGAAGCTGGCTATGTCAGTAGCAGCTAGCTCAGAGAGAGGATTGTGGGATCAATGGACACTCCATTTCCTCATTCCTGTTGCTAGGATGGAGTGTAAACTGCACCTCATACCCCACCTGAACTTGGATTGTGGGTGTGGGGAGGAGTACAGCAAGAGAATCCTCAACTGGTTGAGTATTAACCCAAAAAGACATGAGAGAAAAACATGCGGAAGTGACTGAGTTATTCTGCATTGGCAAGAGTAAGCATAAATGAGAACTTAAGAACTAAGCTCAGTTATAGTGTAATAAAGTCACATTTATCACATCTGAGACTTTAAGGGAAAATATATACCTGTACAGAGAAAAAATGGGGCTAATGAGAATGTCTCTGAGGTTCCTTCTTTATCAATAATTCTGTAGCTTGAAGTTGTTGAGGGAAAAGTAAGACATAGTTTAGGTGAGGGTGGGAACATTAAAAAAACCCCTCTTATTAGTGGCTGGTTTCAGGACACACAGCAAATGGTCACGGGAGGGAAGGGGTGCATGGAAAACCATGACCATTGCATGTGTAAGCTCTGTATTTTGAGTTTGTTGCTTTTTAAACATTTAAAGTTGAGAACTTGCTGGAGTTAATTATTTTTAACACTGAAGGGAGCTGATTTGTGCTGATTAAGATGATTTAAAAGCCATTTTCTTAGGAGAACTGAATGGGCTTTCTAGGGGACCCGTTGGTGAGCAGCACATTTTTATAGGGAGAGCCACAAGGGACTCTTGGCCTAAGACATCTGAAAGCCAAAAGAATTATTGCTGAGTACACCATGTTTAGCATCCTGCCTAAGTGAGCAGTCCATGCTGCAAGCACAGTGGGTTCTGTCTGCTTGGAGAGAGCGTGAAAAGCTGGACTGGGGGGTCCCTCAGTGGTGCAGAGGAGAAAGGGTGCCTAGACAGCAGATGCAGGCCAGGCAGGAAGCCAGCAAGAAAACCTAAGAGAGGAAGAGGGGGTTTTAGCCAATTTCGAGAGGCTTGGCAGGAAAACAGTAATCTAGTTGAGAAGGTGGTGGGGGAGAAACAGCTCTATCTGGGGCCAAGGAGGCAGCTTTGTGCTCTTGTCCAGAGCTCTCCACCCTCATCAAAGTCAGCGAGCATGGTGGGCGCTGGCAGGGGCGGGGGCGGGCAAGGCCCATCCCACCCATGAGGCAGAGGTGAGTCACGGAGGTTGGTGACCAGCTCCCTTTGGGGGAACCCCGTGGGCTGACACAGTGAGCAGGGGTGAGTTGTGCTGGAGCACAAAGGCAGGCAGGATGTGGCCAGTGCCCACCAGTGTTTATCAGACCTCGTGATCAGAACTTACACCCACTGAGTTATGTGAGAAGGACTATGCCATACGTATCTGTATTGGCTTTGAAGGTCCCTAGAAAACACATGGAAGGCTAAGAGTAGAGGTAAGCAGAGGCCATAAACATGTCACACTCCACTTTAAAGGCTGCCACTTGCTAGGAATAATGAAGAATGGTGATGAAAGTATTGGCTACTCTGGATGTTAACTAGCAGGCTTTAGTTTTCTAGATTATGATTTGATACCAGCTCTTTTGGCAGAGATCACTGAATGCTTTGCACTAAATCTGGGAAGACCTGTTTGACAGGAAACACCTACCTAATTGAGGGATTCCACTCAAAATTGGAAGGAGTGGGGAGAAATAAAATCAGGTATCATGGAGTGATAGCCCTCTAGCCAGAAGGAATCTGAACACAGAGACATTTTCAAGTGGAAGCATCCAGCAAATGGGTTAGAAACAATATACCTAGGCTTTGAGCTCTACACAGTATCGTGCAGAAACTGAGAAACAAACAAAATGTATGTAACATTTTTACACAGTGAGGTAAACATAATCCCATACAGATTGGGAACCAATGGCTGGCCCAGGCCTGTCATACCCATGAGAACAGTGTCAGGAAGGCAAAATCTCAGAACAAGCCAAAACTTGTGGGGAAAAAAGAGGCTAAAGACAAGCAAAAGTGTTTTTAAAAGCTACGTTTGGAGCCAGGAGAACACGGAAGGTGTAGGCCTGCCAGTTGGGAAATTTAGTGCAATGTGTGCAGGTGAATGATTGACGAAATACTGCTTTTGTCTTCTCAGTGAGAGAATGCTTTTCAAGCTCCACAGAACCAACTATTACACAGAGGGGAAGGAAAGAGCGGAAGCGATCCATGCTCCAAATACTTACCTGTTAGGGGTGTGCTTGCTGAAAACTCATTGTTAATTAACTTGGTGCAAAAAATGAAGAATGGTGAGAAGATAAAAGAGACCTTTACACAAAGGGATCTGAGTACTTATTTTAGAAGATCCCTTTTATGTGGACTGTCTTCTCCCAGCACTCCAGGAAGTGTGTGCTAAGCTCAATGGGCTAGCCTTGCCCTCCCAGCTGCAAACCTCCTTAATGCCAAGTTACAGAGAAAGGACATAGAGGAGTTAAACCTGCCGATTACAGATCAAGGTCAAAAACCCTGCCAGCTTCCCCTTCTCAAAGGTAGGCGCCTAGAGCAGAAAAGGTGGGAGGGCAGTAGGAGGTCCTCTGGTCCTGGGGGCAGCGGAGGGAGCCACCATGTCATTCTCTGCTAAGCTGACACCTGTTCTCAGCAGGTGACTTAATCACTAATCTCTTAAAATAGCAGCTTGTTCCCTAGGCATTCTGGGCTCCTGGTGCAAAAAGCTCTTCAGTGGTTTCTTTTAAAGAGAGAGCCATACCTAATCATAATACGAAATCTTGGGGAAAATATTTTGGATAGCACAAAGAATTTTTAAAAATCAACTTCAATCTCATTGTTTAGAGATAGCCTCAGTTAACATTTTCTTTTATAATGTTTATTGTTTTTCTGTGATCACAGTATGGGATACATAGGATTAAAATTCAGAATATAGAGAAAAGCTAAAAGAAAAAATTAAGAACCACCTGTAATTCCACCACTGCTGATATCTTGATAGTTTTCTTTCCAGTCTTTTTTCTTTGCACACAAACACACACATACATTTTTACTAAAATATGAATCATACTGTAAATTCATTTTTGTACTCCATTTTTTGCACTTACATCTGAGCATTTTCCTTATCATTAAATGCTGTTCAAGAGCATGATTGTAACTGGCCATCTGCTATTTTACTGAACTGCAGTTCATCTTAACCATTATTTGTCTTGTTTCCAGTTCTTCACCATTTGAAAATAATGCCATTATAAACATCCTTGTAAGAAAATTTTCATTTAGGATCAATTTCTAATGGTTGAATTACTAAGTCAAAGACTATGGGCATTTTTGAGGCCTTCAATACATGATGCTTCCCTGTCCTCCAGGAAGATTGTGCCACTTCACTACTGACCCCCAGCCTCCCATCACCTCGCCCCAACCAATGGGCCAGTGCATGCTCATTTCTTGTCAACTTCTCTTAGGTTTGCAGTTTCCATGTGAGGCTTCAAGGCCTCCCTGCTTTGAGCAATCCCATCACACCACTGCCCTCTTGTGTTCTTGCTCTGTGGCTTTTCTAGGGTGAGAGGATGTTCTGGTCCTTCGAATATTTGAAATGCTCTTCCTATATTCCCCTAAAGACCTTTACAGCTCCATGGCTATTTTTATGTTTGCTTTGAGGTGATAAGCATTTCCTTCATTCTGTCAAGTTGGGTAACTCCTTCTGGACTCAGCTCAGACCTTGTCTCCTGGCAAACTTCCTCTGACATTCCAGGCTGGTTTAGGAGCCTCTCCTCTGGACTCCCTCTTGTTCTCCCCATCAAATCACTTGTCATGTCATACTGTGCATTCAGCTGTCTCCTTTCCAGATGTAGCTCTCTGTGCCTTTTTTTCACTGTATCTTCAGTGCCTGACACTGCACCTGGCAGACATGGTCATTCGATAGATGCTGAAAAAATGCTTACTTTACTAAAAAATTCCTTGAATGTTCATTTCTATTTCCATACCCTGTATTCCATCTCATTCGCCTTAAATATTTACTGGCTGTATAAGGATCTGATAGTTCTATTTATTTTTTTTATCTTATTTTTCCAGGTTTATTTTGTTATAATTGACACATAACCTTGTGTAAGCATAAGGTGTACAACATGATGATTTGATACACATGTGTGTTGTGAAATGATTACCACAATAAGGTTGGTTAACACATCTATCACCTCACACAATAATTTTTTTCTTTGTGATGAGAACTTTCAAACTGTGTTAGCAACTTTCAAGTATATAACATAGTATTGTTAACTATAGTCACCAGGCTGTACACTAGATCCACAGAATTTATTTATCTTATAACTGGAAATTTGTACCCTTTGACCAACATCTCCTCGTTTCCCCTACCCCTCAGCCCTAGAAACCACTGTTCTATTCTCTGTTTCTAAGAGTTTGACTTTTTTAGATTCCACATGTGCGATCACGTAGTATTTGTCTCTGGTTGATTTCACTTAGCATGATATCTTCAAGGTCCATCCATGTTGTCACAAATGATAGGATTTCTGTCTTCTTTATGCCAAAATAATATTCCATTCTTTATACATACCACATTCTCTTTATCCAGTCATCCTTTAATGGACACTTGGGTTGGTTCATGTCTTGGCTGTCGGAAATAATGCTGCAGTGAACATGGGAGTGCAGACATCTCTTTGAGATATATTCATCTCCTTCAGATATATATCCAGAAGTGGGATTAATGGATCATATAGTAGATCTTTTTATAATTTTTTTTAGGAACCTCCATACTGTTTTCCATAACGGCTGCACTAGTTGATGTTCCCACCAATAGTGCACAAGGGTTCCCTTTTCACTACATCCCCACCAACACCTGTTATTTTTTATCTTTTTGATGATAGCCATTCTAACAGGTGTGAGATAGCATCTCATTGAGGTTTTGACTTGCATTCCCCTAATAATTAGTGATGTTGAGCACCTTCTCACATAACTGTTGGTCATTTGTATTTCTTCTTTGGAAAACTGGCTATTCAGATCCTTTGCCTATTTAAAAATTGGATTGTTTATTTGTTTTGCCATCACATTCTGTGAGCTTCTTCTATATTTTGAATATTAACCCTTTATCATATATATAATTTGCAAGTATTTTCTATCATTCTGTAGCTTGCCTTTTCACTTTGTTGATTATATCTTTTGCTGTTCATAAGCCTTTTATTTTAGACGTAATTCTACTTGTTTATTTTTGCTTTTATTGCTTGTGCTTTACATATCATATCAAAAAAATTGTTGCCAAAACCAATGTCCCTATGTTTTCTTCTAGGAATTTTACGGTTTCAGGTCTTACATTTACGTCTTTAATCCATTTTGATTTACTTTTTTTGTCAGTGGAGTGAGATAGAAGTCTAGTTTCATTCTTTTGCATGTGAATATCAAGTTTCCCAAATACCATTTATTAAAATGACAATTTTTTCCCCATTGAGTATTCTTGGCTCCCTTGTCAGATATTAAGTAACTGATATGTGTGTTATTTCTGAGTTGTCAATTCTGGTCTACGTGTCTATGTAGCCTAGAATCATACTGTTTTGATTACTGTAGTTTTGTAATATAGTTTAAAAACCAGCTTTCCCAAGATTGCTTTGGCTATTTAGGGTCTTTTGGGATTCCATACAAATTTTAGAATTTTTTTCTATTTCTTTAAAAAATGCCATTGGAATTTTGATAAGGGATTGCATTGAATTCTATAAATGCATTTGGGTATCTAGCAGTTCTTAATCCTTGTTTGATAATTTAGAGTTGAACTTGGGGCACCAAAAAAAAAAAGAAGTAAGGAAAAGAGAGAGAGGAGCACTTTACATTTCTGTATGATTTTACAGCTTGCAGTGTTCTTTCATACCCTTGTGGCAATTCTAAGTCCCTGCCGGGATATTCATGCTAGATGCGGTGACAGCAGTCTGTATCATCTTCCATATCATCTGTCACAACTGTTGGCATATAATTATTAGTATTAGTAATAAATAGTTAATATAACTTAATCACTAACATTAAAAATTAGCAATCAAGTTAATAATTACTAGTGTTCAGTGATGTATCACCAACACCTAGCACAGTGCTCAGTGCATTGTAGTTATTTAGTAATTATGAACTCTGTGAAAAAGCATTACTAGCTCCATCTCGTAGAAATATAATTATAGAGAGTTGACATTTCAGTCTAGGGAGTTGGAGTCCAAGTTTGGTGCTCTTTCCAATACACATGACCTAATGTGGTGGGCTGTTTTTCCCTTGTGGGAAAAATATGGAAGGGGAGAATAATGGAGGGAAAGAAGAAAGGGAAGAGAGAAGGAGAAAAACATGGAGTTGGAGACAAGTGGTTTGAATTGGACACCTTGATGAAGGAAAGAGAAATACAGAGCATTGACTTACAAAGGATGGACTTTTCTGAGCGGGACCACCTGATGCCCAGGAGTGGATGTGTGACAAGGTGGACCACAGCTATAATTTCCATCCTGCATTCATAATCATGCACCAGTGTTCAAGAAGTGTGTTCTGCCTGTGTCTTACTAGAATAAGTATGGCAGCAGGCAGTCTGCCAAGGGGCAGGAGAACCAAGGGGTGTGGGGTTTAATCAGGATAACCATACTGGACTTCGTCATTGCCTTGAAAGCTTACTCCAGTTCTTCCTGCTGATAAGTAGTGTCTCTGTTAAGAAAGTGGTTCTTACCTGCTAGCAGACTAGCAGTTAACATGGAACAGGATTAGGTCACTAATTACAGACCTGAGATCCTGGGGCTGGATTTGGAAGCAGGAAATGATATGGGTATGGTTTCATCCGCACCCTGGAGGAAGTCCTCCACTGAGCTCACACTTGGGGGAAAGGAGCAGATTATAATATCCACATCCAAGGACTCCCCCTCTCCCACCTCAGAGGCAGCTTAGGGTATGAACTAGAAACTGCATCCCTCTAGTGTGATTTTTATATGGCAGAATGGGTCACCAGCAGGACTGTGGCATCAGTTTAGCCCTTTACTACTGGTGTTTCAAGGCCCCAGTGTGGGTGAGATTGAAGCCAGTGTTTGGATGTTAGGAGACTGTCTCACAGTTGCTTCCTTCAAGGCAAAGGGGGGTATCTTGTGGCTGCTTATCTGCAGGCACACTGTCCTCCCCACTGCCCAGAGCTGGGCCCCTCTGACGGAGGTCACCCTGTGTTTACTCCAGTACGCCTCCAGATCCTCTCGTTTTCCTCACGAGTCATAGTGTGCAAGCGGTTGTGAAACTGCCGTAGCCATGGCTCTCATAGACTGTCTGGGAAACTTCCTATTACCTAGTCCCAGGGCTTATTAGCAGGGGCAGATGGATCCAGCCACGTTCACTTGGCAGCACCCCTACAGGTACAAGAGTGATGACTCTCAAATCTTAGACCCATGATTCCTAAAAGTTAATGTGATAAGCGTCCCCTGGAAGTCTCCTGAAACGATTCCCTGGGCGCTTTCTCCAGAGACAGGAATCCAGTAGATTGGAGGGAGGCTCACGACTTCATGTTCTTGGTGAGCTCCTGGCTGATGCAGCGCTGTTGATCTGAGGACACTACTTTGGAGTCACTGTAAAAAAGATGGAAACAAATCAGGGGAATGTGGTGGTGGGGGTGGGGGGAGACCATGAGTCCCTCGGGCGTTCACTGTACATGGGACGGCCGTTTTGGAGGTCGGGGGGAGCCCATAAGAATGCCCAGCTTTTACTCTCCCTGCCGCTGGAAGACCGGCTAGGGTTTGCACACCCTGCTTCTTGCCCTCCTCTACACAGTGACGGATGAGCTCCTAGGACTGTGCAGGGGGAGAGAATGGAGATTGCGGATGAAGAGGGAGCTGGAGAGCCGAGAGGGAAGGAGAGGGAGGAGCAGGAAGCTCCGGGCCCAGGGATGGTTCTCCAGGCAGTTTCCGGGGGAGGTGTGGCTGTGGCTGTGGGGCATGAGGGAAGTGGTGGGGGAAGAAAGAGGATTCCTTGGATTGCCCGGCCCTCAGGGTGCCAGGGTATGAACTGAGGCAGCACAAAGGTGTTTGAGAGTTTTTGATGCTTGGGTGATGGTCAGGGTGTGATGCTGTGCTGAGACTGGTGTCTGGCTTCGTTAGGGTTACAGTAGCGTGATGGCTCTGATATATCATATGGGGGAGACTAGGGGGCCCAGGCAAGCTCTCAGCCTCATTAAGACCCTTTCTGTTTCTTGCAGCTATTGCCGTGGTTGCCTACTGATACCCTGCCTCAAAGCCTCCTCCCCACAAAGCGCCCCCGCACACCATTAGGCTAATTGGCCTAAGCCAGAGCTCCGACACAAGAGCCACCCTTCAGGGGCTTCTGCCCCAAAGCCCTTGTGTTAGACCCTAGACTCCCTAGCATTAGAACAAACCCTCATTTCTCCTCTTGGCCTCTGGTAATGGAGGGATTGGTACAGTTTCTACGATCAGTTTTAGCCAAACTACCTTTCCAGGCCTTCCAGGCTTCACATTCCCTGTTCCGATCTATGCTCCGAGTGTCCTTGCCAGCCACAGACACCTCACAGTCCACACCTCGTGTCCTTGGACGCTCACAGTTCCCCACCTCCGTGTCTTTGCACAGGCTATGTCTGCTGCCTGGAATGCTCTCCTTACCATCTCTGCCTCAGAAGATCGACCTTGTCTGAAATGCCTCCTCCTTTAGGAACCTTCTCAGATCGTTTCTCCTCACCTCTCCCTCCCGTGGGACTTTATTTGTATTTTCCTATACAGCTAATAATGTTTATGTTGTAGTTGTCTGTGCTCTCGTCTTACCTGTCTCCCTAGTCCTGTGCTGTCCAATGAGGTAGCTCCTAGTCCCATGTGGCTATATAATTTAATTAAAATGAAATAAAGTTAAAAATCCCATTCCTCAGTTTCACTGGCCATGTTCCAGGGGCTCCATAGCCCTTGCAGCTGCTGGGAACTATACTGGGAAGCACAGAGAGAGAACGTTACTGCCATAGCCGGAAGTTCTATTGGACAACGCTGGGACTGCATATCATTCACTCCCTCTTATGTTTATTGAATAAAAATTAGTTGCATTGAATCAATTAGAATTTTATTGGTCGTTTTGTCTGCATTTCTCATCCCACACTGCAGCTTTGTTTCCAGTTGCTACAAAGCCGTGTGGTGCTACCTGTTCCTTGCTCTGTTTTGAGGAAGGCTGTGTTCTGTTGAGGTGAACCCCCTGCCCTGTTTCTGTGGTTTGCCTTCACTGCCCTAGGAGGGCTGTTTGGTGTGCTGGCTTCCTCGGAGGTGTGTCTCAGGTCACCTCCCATGACCTAACCTAACCCTTGAACAGAATTTAGTAATGAACAAAGAGCCGAAGTCTGTAACCCTCGCAGTTATACTGTCACCCAGGAGAGGCTGCCTGTCCTAGACAGACCCTCATGCCTGCATGGGGCAAAAGACTTGGACATAAGGACACCTATGGCAACGAGCAATGGCATTGTGAGGGATCCTTTCTCATTAACTTGCAAAATCAATTGCCTGTAGAAGAGGCTTCTGAAAAGGAACCACGAGTCCAGCGTGACCACAAGAGGGCGCCAGCTCACCTTAAATAATCTTTACCTCAAAAATTTAGGGAAGGCTTCCTTGTATTGCAAGGGCAGGACAGAACGGGTACACATTGGACCAGAGGGGAACAGTAAAAAAAAAAAAAATCATCATGTTGTTATGTCTAACTGAAAAGCCTGCTTACCATATATTTATGCATTTAGGACCTCCTTAAATAAAGGAATCACAAGAACATTAGATAATAATAGGCAGACATGGAATTAGATTGAAAATACTTCAAATAAGGATGTGAATAGGTCAGTAGACTTTAAAACAGAATAAATCTCACTTCGAAGCAAGGTAGCTATGGAAACATTACCAAAATCATTCTGTTACTTCAGGCTGCAGTGGTTTCTGCAGCCAGGAAATGCTGTCAAGGGAGGGCAGAATATCATTTTATTTTTTTCTTTCTCTTTTCCAGCTTTATTGAGAAATAATTGACATACAAGTTTAAGGCTTAAAACATGATGGTTTGATTTACATATATTGTGAAATGATTTTATAATTTTCTTCTAAGTAATACAACACAGGATTCTATATGGGAAGTTGCAAGATATTAGATTTCAGTGGTAGAGATGTTTTAACAAAAATACCCAACAGCTTTAATTTGGTTTCTGACAACTTAGCTCTGGGTTTGCAGTTGTTAGGTTTTTCTCTTTTCCGTTTTTTCTGTCGCACAAAGGGAGCTGGTGAGAGCTTACTTCCATGTCTCTGGATATATTATACATACACATGTGTGCACATTTAGCATGGAAGATACAAGTCACTGTTCACCCTCCCCCACCCCCAGTATGGCCCATGAGGGCAGGTGACCTATATTTAGCACTTAGACAAGGGGTTTACTTTTTTATAGGGGATAGCCAGCCTGGAGCTATGTTGCCTAAAACCCCAGGCTTCTTCCACTGACTCTTGGAGACTCTAGACCAACGGACCATGCACTTGAACTTTCCCCCAAATCCCAAAGGACACATAAAGGCCATTATACATGGCTGTTCCCTGATCATGCTGATCTTGTAGGTGGAGGTGTGGGTAATGAGTAGGTTGATGTAAGAGGGTAGGTGTTAGTAAAGTAGGGTAAATGTGGTACCTGCCCTGGAGATAAGGTAAATGTCATGCTGGTGGGTGCTCAGCACTAAGAATATAATTTTGATGCTATGATGAGGTCATTTAGCCAGGGGCCCAACATGTGCCCATCCTGGCCTGACAAGCACCCTTTCTTACCCCAGACTTTCAAGGGAGCTGAATGCTCAAGGACCACCAACAAGTTGGGAATCAAATACCCAGGATGACAGTGCAGCCTGCTCCGGTAACAGACTGATTGTTCATGTGCCTGAGGTCTCAAGATTAAGAAGTGGGATCTCCTACCTACACCCCTGCCAACCTAAATATTGGGAAATTACTTCTACCAGGCTGGGCACACAGAGAAAGGAACTCAGAGGCCTGGGGGTGGGTAGCAATATACTGAGTGGGCCATGGCCTAAATGCATGTGTGGAGAAAGAAGAAAGGAAAAGAGCCGAGTAGCCATGCCTGTTATTTAAAAAGAAAGTGGCCCATTTAATATCCTGAGGGTGGGAGTGGGGGTGGAATAAGAATTTTTACAAACTTGTGCTAGGAAAAGAGATCTTAGGCTCCTCCTTGTTCAGAAAAGTGGATTTAACACTTGAGTGGGCATCAGAATTACCTGGAGGGCTAACTGAGTCACAGTTGCTGGGATTCACCCAAGTCTCAGAATCAGTCGGTCTGGAGTGGGGCCAAAGAATTGGCTATTTACTGGGGATGCTGATGTCGCTGATTCAGGGACCACACTTTGAGAACCACAGTTCTAGAGCATTGTAAGTGGTTTAAGTACCAACAATGTAGATGTGATACGGATTTAATTCTGTCCCGGAGAAAGAAATCTAACGAAGGACTCCTTACTTAAAAAAAAAAAAAACTTGCTCTGTTTTGAGGAAGGCTGTGTTCTGTTGAGGTGAACCCCCTGCCCTGTTTCTGTGGTTTGCCTTCACTGCCCTAGGAGGGCTGTTTGGTGTGCTGGCTTCCTCGGAGGTGTGTCTCAGGTCACCTCCCATGACCTAACCTAACCCTTGAACAGAATTTAGTAATGAACAAAGAGCCGAAGTCTGTAACCCTCGCAGTTATACTGTCACCCAGGAGAGGCTGCCTGTCCTAGACAGACCCTCATGCCTGCATGGGGCAAAAGACTTGGACATAAGGACACCTATGGCAACGAGCAATGGCATTGTGAGGGATCCTTTCTCATTAACTTGCAAAATCAATTGCCTGTAGAAGAGGCTTCTGAAAAGGAACCACGAGTCCAGCGTGACCACAAGAGGGCGCCAGCTCACCTTAAATAATCTTTACCTCAAAAATTTAGGGAAGGCTTCCTTGTATTGCAAGGGCAGGACAGAACGGGTACACATTGGACCAGAGGGGAACAGTAAAAAAAAAAAAAATCATCATGTTGTTATGTCTAACTGAAAAGCCTGCTTACCATATATTTATGCATTTAGGACCTCCTTAAATAAAGGAATCACAAGAACATTAGATAATAATAGGCAGACATGGAATTAGATTGAAAATACTTCAAATAAGGATGTGAATAGGTCAGTAGACTTTAAAACAGAATAAATCTCACTTCGAAGCAAGGTAGCTATGGAAACATTACCAAAATCATTCTGTTACTTCAGGCTGCAGTGGTTTCTGCAGCCAGGAAATGCTGTCAAGGGAGGGCAGAATATCATTTTATTTTTTTCTTTCTCTTTTCCAGCTTTATTGAGAAATAATTGACATACAAGTTTAAGGCTTAAAACATGATGGTTTGATTTACATATATTGTGAAATGATTTTATAATTTTCTTCTAAGTAATACAACACAGGATTCTATATGGGAAGTTGCAAGATATTAGATTTCAGTGGTAGAGATGTTTTAACAAAAATACCCAACAGCTTTAATTTGGTTTCTGACAACTTAGCTCTGGGTTTGCAGTTGTTAGGTTTTTCTCTTTTCCGTTTTTTCTGTCGCACAAAGGGAGCTGGTGAGAGCTTACTTCCATGTCTCTGGATATATTATACATACACATGTGTGCACATTTAGCATGGAAGATACAAGTCACTGTTCACCCTCCCCCACCCCCAGTATGGCCCATGAGGGCAGGTGACCTATATTTAGCACTTAGACAAGGGGTTTACTTTTTTATAGGGGATAGCCAGCCTGGAGCTATGTTGCCTAAAACCCCAGGCTTCTTCCACTGACTCTTGGAGACTCTAGACCAACGGACCATGCACTTGAACTTTCCCCCAAATCCCAAAGGACACATAAAGGCCATTATACATGGCTGTTCCCTGATCATGCTGATCTTGTAGGTGGAGGTGTGGGTAATGAGTAGGTTGATGTAAGAGGGTAGGTGTTAGTAAAGTAGGGTAAATGTGGTACCTGCCCTGGAGATAAGGTAAATGTCATGCTGGTGGGTGCTCAGCACTAAGAATATAATTTTGATGCTATGATGAGGTCATTTAGCCAGGGGCCCAACATGTGCCCATCCTGGCCTGACAAGCACCCTTTCTTACCCCAGACTTTCAAGGGAGCTGAATGCTCAAGGACCACCAACAAGTTGGGAATCAAATACCCAGGATGACAGTGCAGCCTGCTCCGGTAACAGACTGATTGTTCATGTGCCTGAGGTCTCAAGATTAAGAAGTGGGATCTCCTACCTACACCCCTGCCAACCTAAATATTGGGAAATTACTTCTACCAGGCTGGGCACACAGAGAAAGGAACTCAGAGGCCTGGGGGTGGGTAGCAATATACTGAGTGGGCCATGGCCTAAATGCATGTGTGGAGAAAGAAGAAAGGAAAAGAGCCGAGTAGCCATGCCTGTTATTTAAAAAGAAAGTGGCCCATTTAATATCCTGAGGGTGGGAGTGGGGGTGGAATAAGAATTTTTACAAACTTGTGCTAGGAAAAGAGATCTTAGGCTCCTCCTTGTTCAGAAAAGTGGATTTAACACTTGAGTGGGCATCAGAATTACCTGGAGGGCTAACTGAGTCACAGTTGCTGGGATTCACCCAAGTCTCAGAATCAGTCGGTCTGGAGTGGGGCCAAAGAATTGGCTATTTACTGGGGATGCTGATGTCGCTGATTCAGGGACCACACTTTGAGAACCACAGTTTTAGAGCATTGTAAGTGGTTTAAGTACCAACAATGTAGATGTGATACGGATTTAATTCTGTCCCGGAGAAAGAAATCTAACGAAGGACTCCTTACTTAAAAAAAAAAAAAGTAAAATTCAAACATGATACAATCTCCCATCCAAAGTATATAACTTGGTGGTTTTTGGTATGTTCACAGAGTTGTGTAACTCTGTTAGACAACTTTCATCACCCCAAAAAGGAACCCCACACCCATTAACAATCAGTCCTTAAACCTAACTCGTCTAGCCATAGGCAAACCACTACTTCCTGTCTCTATACATTAGCCTATTCTGGACATT